GTAATAACATGAATCTTTTTAGAAACTTATTTTGAACAAAATCAAAGTGATTCAAATTCGGCAAAACAGAGTATTTGTTTCATGAAGAGATACATAATTTCTTCCTGCAATTTAGATAGCATTTTGAAAAATTTGCCAATGAAATTGAACCATGGAGAGAAAAACAAGGGTTTATAGCTTTATAAAAAATATACTAGTGATTTGGATTTTTAGAAGCAATGAAATATTATATCATTGTAGAGGGTTTAAAGCTGTAAAAATAGGGGAATAGCTTTAATTGGTATTTTTGATTTTTATATTTAATCATTATTGCTATACTTCAGATTTGGTAAACTAATTTCCTTTTTATGCTTTATAAAATAATAAAAAAAGCAGTTAAGATGCTGCTAGCATCTGAAGATCATTTTCAATGGCCCAGGGCCGTGTCCTTTGCCTGCCTCTAAGCCGCACAATTTCCCAGTGTTCCGCTGTGGACAGGGCTAGAAGGCTCAGTGCTGGAAACAAAATGTCTCCCAGGAATTTAATCACAGCACTGATCCAAAAGGCTGCCCCATAACCCCAGTTCCCACAGGTCCCTCAGCCCATGTGGGCCTTGCAGACGTGCTGATGGGGGAAGGACACTCAAGGGGCGGCATTTTCCTAGGCACTGCCTGAGAGCCTCTGGCCTCACCAGGCCTCCTAACTCCATGACTGTGCTTTCTGCTTCCACTCCTTGCTGTGTTGGCCCACGTGATCCTCTTCTCCCCAGTTGGTCTGTTTTCCTTCTGATCATTTAAAAACTGTAGGATAAAAAAATACAGGCAATGCGTATTTCTCTCCATGGATCTGCTTTAATATACCACCACTGTGCATTTGCTTCTGTCACACTAATTGCCACAAATTGAATTGAGCGCATCTCCGTCCAGGCAGTTAGCACACACCCTGCAGCTGAAGAGCTCTCTAATCTGATCATATCCCGAGGCCCTCAGACTTCCTGGCACGTAGATTAGAAGCCCTGCTGCTCTGCCCACCGATTGCAGCTTTTTCTCAAATGGCTGCATTGTTAGATGACTGAAGGTTTACGTGAGAAAGACATTGGTCTGATGAGAATGTGTACTGAAGGATCGAATGATAAAGGGTAAAAGCCCCAAACAGTGTTTCAGGAATCAAGTCATCAGGGCTGCCGGTGCACAATCATGCTGTCTGTCACATACCAAATAATATTAAAATGAATTCTGCTGTTCCCTGAGTAAACCCGCCTCGCCTTCATAAACTTCATCCTCTACTCTTTTTCATTTTATTGATGGCATCTTTGTTCTGATGCTTGCTCTAAGAACTCTCCCAAAGAGTGTTAAATTCATACACTTAAAAAAAAACAACAAAAAAACCAAAAAACAATTTCCAAGGTACGACTAGTGTCTGTTGTATTTGGATGCCCAGGAGAGAGTGAGGGAGTTGGGGACGAATGTGGGTGCTGGCCAGGGAGCCGGCAGGGCAGGAGAAAGAGGAGGCCAAATCAAACTGCTGAACTGGGAATGGGCTGAGGGATTCCCTGTTCAGTTCTTTCATACTGTAAGTGAAAAGCCTGACCCAAAGACATTATGTAAATTGTTCAAGAGCACACTGTTTATTCAATCATTTACTTGACAAAGATCTAGCAACTGCTTGCTCTCTGTCTAGCCCAGCTTTTAAAACAGAGACTAAGATCCTCTTTTAGCTGCTGTGCTTTGGATGTCACTCACCCTGAAGGCTCTTCCCTTTACCTTCCACCTGCTAATTTCTGATTTGTCATGTAAAATTCCGCTCAAAAGATTCTACTCCCTGAAGCCATTTCTGACTTAGAAGACCCGCTTGTTTTTACCCGAGGTGCTGTGTTTATACCCCAATTATAGCACTTATCATCCCCACATGAAAACTTAGAGCCAAATTTGTTGGGGGCCAACTTGTAGCAAATGCAAAGCATCTTACGATATGTTTTATGCATACTGATTCTTAGCTTTATATTCTTTTTACCTTCTAGCCCTCATTTATTTAATTTTATCTTGTGATATAGTTGTCTTTATAAACTCCAATACACTTTTTATGGAAGGTGATGGTAGTATTAAACAATATTAGAGTCCGTGACACATTTGTACTTTCCCTCTTCTCAACTATGAGTTGCTTGAGGGCAAAGATGATGCACGGTGGTTAACACAGTGGTGAGAAGGAAGGGAAGTGGGTGGTGAGCTAGAATGGTAGGGTGAAGCCAGATGCTAAGTGATTTTGTTTGTCATGTTTAAAAGTATTGGCTTTTATTGAATATAGTGAGGAGGGTGCTGGGCTGACCTGACCAAATCCATGCTTTAATCTAAATAGGTGGAAGGGAGTGAAACTAATACCAGTTAGGAGTCCATTGCAGTGGAAAGAATGCAAAGGCTCCAAAGGGCAGAAGCATGAGAAAGGGAAAGAGAATGCATTTAAGGGCTGTTCACAGGAAAAATCATGAGGAGAGGGCAGGCAAAAGGGAGAAATCAATGCTGATTAGCTTAGTTGGTGAGTCAGTTCACAGAGGAGAGAACAGAAGCAAGGCTGAGACTAGAGGGAAAGATGCTGAGTTCATTTGAGGACATACTGATTTAGAGGTGCCAATGGGACTTGATGAAAATGCCTCGTAGGTCGTTGAAAGTATGGTTTTCATCTCTTTTGAGACTGTAGTCACCAGTGTGGCTGAGCCACAGATGAGTGTCAAATTCACTTACAGGAAATGTGGGAAG